CCGGATTAAAAGTGAACGGATCTTGGTAGTATTTTGATGAATAATTAATGGCGCCGGTAGGTATGTTGATCTGTTGACCTTGCTCAATCACTAGTCCAGTATCCGCCAATGGGTAGTCGTATTTGGCCACCCGTTTTACGACATATCCCTTGTTGTGTAGACGCAGTGTCTCGTCGACTACCGCTCCCAAGTAGGCCAACCCTTGTAGCGAGTCGTAGGTTATATGTCCGGTATTAGGGTCGGTGTCGGCGCCCATTAGCTCGTCGTACAGTTTCTGTTGATATCCCGGTTCGCGGGACAGTTCGTAGCAACACATGGCCACCACAGTTGCTATGTTGTCGTAGTTGCCCTGGGTCATGGTTATCGCTACCGCCACGATTTTATTATCTATCATACATGTTGGAATTTTTGTTAATTATTATGTCATTAAAAATGTTAAATAATAATCAAAATCATTATAAATTTTACAAATTTATTACATAATGATCATCAGTGGTTAATATTTATAAATATTATGATAATTGCCTAAAATAATCTAGCTACTTGACCGTATAAATTATACTATTTTTAATATATTATAGTAAAATTTGCTATTCAGTATGTATATTTAATATGCAACATGTTCAAACATATAATTTTAAAAAACTTACCTGCTTCCGTGATATTAACATTTTTATTGGCATCCATTAACCACTGAATAAAATCCGTGTATATCTCATTCGGGCGTTTACGACGCTGTTGAACATTATGTCGTATAGCCTGCACAAAATACTCGATAGCACCGGCACTATAATCCACACCCAGCCAATGGTGCGTCCACTTTGGCAAAAGTAACTGGGTCAGTTCGAGGTAGGCGTTCCTAGCGGTCATTTGCCTGGCCCTGGTCATAAACGGGTTATCCCGATCGTAACAATCAATTTTTATGCCAAACGCACAGGTAGTAAAAATATCCATGGCAAAACACAGGCACATTGACTTTATGTCAATCGGGGCGTTGCCAAGCGTCGGACACCGACCTAATTGGTCGGTTAGGTTGGTTACGCACTCCATAAGGCGTGGGTATATCTGACGCATGCGCGCGGAGGTCAGGGTGGGTGCGAAGCTGAGCCTAAACTGGCGCCAGTTGTTGGCGTTTAGGGACAACATTTTGTCGTGAAACGAGGCGACAAATACTTTGGCCTTGCTCAGTTCGGGAAACACGTGCGCGTCCTTGATCAGGATCATTTTGATAAGCTCAGGGTCGGTGATGTTTAATACCGGGGTGGCATTTTCGACGTAATGGCTACGTGAAAGTTAACTTGTTCATTACTGTATCAATGTTATGTTTATATTCGAAATAATAAAATTATCTAGCAACTTTGTTAATATGAGTAAGCTCCTCTCAGTCAGGATATTACTTGTTTAGCATGTTTTTTTAATAAATTAATCGTGTTTAATTGTATGGTAATTGTTTAGAAGTGTAATTTTATCTTGCGCAATTTATGTAATCTTTTATATACCCATAAATCTTGCCATATTTGTTTAACCACTCGTAATGCTGTCGCACGTGTTTTGTCAATAAGCCGATCCTATTGCCAAATATTGGTAATGGTCTGGGGCCGATTACACCCTGGTCAGTCCAATAATTGTAACCACAAGTAAGATACCTTGGTTAATACAATTATATAAATATTCCGTACAAATAATTGCTAAAACAGTGATTCTGTATTCAAGAAACAAAAAAGGGGTATCAAGATTACAAACCTGTAACCTAGTTTGAATAATATAAATATTAATCCAATGATAACTGACCAAATAATAAACGCTTTGCAAAACACCATGTTTAATATAATATTATAAACACTGTTTAATTTTATAAAAAAATTATCTAATATAATTATATGATTTAAATAAATTGCTTGCAAACCTCTCAATTTGTTTAATATTAATATTTTTGCAAATCATTACAAGGTGCTTTTTATATTAACCATAAAACATACGTAGAGAACATGTATTTAATATTTCTTATATAAATATATTCTAGAGTCAAAGTAAAAATTTACATTACATTGCAAATATTATATGAGTGTAAATATTTATTAAAATTGTTAAAATTCATAACTAAACTTTTATTTGATATAAACACGATGTCAAACTAAAAATTTTTATTTAAATTAAGAATTTTTGGTAT